ATTAAGGACAGAATAAAAAATAACGAGCAGAATAAAAAAATAAATAACAAGAGCAAAGTAGACTGACTGTGCACAGTTATTACGGGAGGTGCTCCTCATAGTACTGAGCCAGGCTCCCTGTACCTTAAAAACTGTATAAGCATAAAACATTTGCTCAAACAGCTGGAAAATAAAGATGTAAAACCTTGATGTGTGTGTTGTAGTGGGCCTGTGGCCAGAGTTTTGCTGTTCAACGCTACAGGAGAGAGAGACTCAGCAGTCATGCTTAAACTACTGGTGGTGAGTACAGCTGCCTGCGGGAATCCAGAGAACTAGGAAGATGTATATGTATGTATATAAAAAACACATGTAGACCCCTCCCTGTTCAACCTGGTTTGGAGATTAATACCAGAAAATCATTTTGTTTCACTCTGGCAGCATCCTCTGCCCCTGACTGAGCAGACCTTAATGTGTTCTTTCCTTGTTTCTTTTCAGCCATGTCATTTTGACTTTGCTGTGTTCTGCCCAAACATCACTGAAGCCATCGCTTCTTGTAATGCAGGTGAGCTCATTGAGCCTGTTGGCAGCTAACAGTGAACTCTACCTGACAGGATTAAAGGACCATACTAGTGGCTTTTAGCCCTTTAACAATAAGTCACATGTACTTTTCATGATTGCTATTTCCCAAAGCCTTCTATAGGAACAGTGCAACATTTTGGGAAATATCCTGGTTTGCTTAATTTCTGAGAGTAAGAACATGAATACCTGTGCTGGAGTTAGGATGTGCTTAGCTTAGCTTAGCATTAAGACTGGAAGCAGGGGGAAACGGCTAGCTTAGCCATGTCCAAAGATCAAGCAATGGCTGTATTCAAAACCGCCTACTATATTAGCTGTACATAGTGATTTGGCCAAAATATAGTATGCAAAAAAAAGGAAATCTGCAATATGCCAAAAATACACAGATGTTGTACTGATTCGGAAAAAATATCCAGTATGCACAGTAGGCGAGGTAGACTGGTCTGATACCAGTCTACCTCGCCTACTGTGTCCCACAATGCAACACGGCGGAACAATCACCACAACAGGATTTATTTTGTCCATTTTGTTGCTATTTCACCACTAAATACACTTACACAAGAAATCAATCATGCAGATTTGGAGTATTGGCAGCTTTAAGAAAATTGATGGTGAATTGAAAACGTGCTGGAGTTGAGAGGCTCCACAACCGGCACAGCATCGGGAGCAATTTGGCGTTCAGTATCTTGCTAAAGGACATCGGTGTATGACATACATAGTAGTGGTGGTTTGCTCTTAGTTGTGCTGTTGTTTACTTCCTCTTTCCAAAACCAGAAACATGCTGAGCATACTGCAAAATAAAGTGCTTTAATGGTTTCATACTGCATACACTATATTCCATTATATTCCATTAATTCTGCATCGCTGGTAGCATATAGTTTGCCGTTTGGAATACAGCCCTTGTTGTATCGTGTTTGTTTCATCCATAAAATTACAATTTGTGGTTTAATGGGTTGTAACAATTTTTTTTCTATCCATTCATCCAGTGCTCCTGTGCACTGTCTCAGACATAGATATAGGTTGCTATGACCTTGACCCTGTTACAAACTGAACTTAACCAGTGTTTCTGCCGTCCCCACTCCTCTCAGACCAGCAGAACTTCAACGTCTCTGTGGAAAACATGTTGACCCGCTGCTTGGACAACGAGAGGAGCTGGCGTCTCCACAACAGGCTGGGGGATAACCAAGGCACACAGCTGCTCATCGAGGACAGCCTGCCCCTGGTCCCTGAAAAAAAAGCAGACACCCTGGTCTTCCCCTGCATCCTCAGCGCCCTCCGCTGGATAACCCAGGGCAGGGACTCCGTGGTGGCGGACCCAGCCAAGACGGTCTTACCAATTAAACCCAGCATCATGGCCAAAGCCGCTCCGCTCTGTGACGTGGCCGAGATCCACGTCCTCATCACCGGGAGCCTCCACCTGGTGGGCGGAGCACTCAAACACCTGGACCCAGCTTCCTCCAAGTAAAAGACCATGTGAAATTTAAACGAGTGAATTTAAATACAGTTTAATAATGGATGGGTGCTCTGCCTATATACACATGTACCTTCCTCATTTCTGTCTGTATAGATGAGGCTTTTGTACTGCTAGCTTTTTGGACTTTTAGGTGTTTACCTGAATGGGATTAGCTGCACGCAGGTACTGTTGTTGTCTTGGTAGCTTCACTACAGTGGCTGATGCTTGGAGCCTGCTAGTTTGGACCAAGATAGCTCCAGGCCTCACAGCAGCCCCCAGAGTCACCCAGAGCCTTACAGACAGCAACACAAACGTGTGGAGCTCTCGTTTTTAGTCTTAACTTGAAGCCAAATATGTTTACATGAACTGACGGAGGCTACATTCATGTACAGCACAATGTGCATCTAGTTGGCTAAACTGGAACTGTGTGTGCGCTCCCGTGATCTCTGACGCCACCTGGATGAGGCAGAGTGGCGTCATTATATTACATTTATACAAAAACTGCAGATAAACAGGCACCAAAAAGTGCTGCTACATGGAGTTTTTTACTTACTTATTTGGAAGACTTGACTATAAGCATTCAGTCTTTTTTTAAATGAATGCCATTTTGAACAGTTTCTACTTTCAATTTGACAAGTGCTTCATACACAAAGCCTATTCATCTTTTTTGTAGATGCAAATATTCTAACAATAGTGTTCGCATCAGAGGAATTCATGGCACTGTGTTATCTGTATTGTAATATTTAAATGCTCCTTAATTTAAATTAGCATTATATGACCGTAATACGTACAGTTCTTTGTATGTAAGTATATATGTTTGTTTAATGGTAAACTGTATTAAATACATTTTTCATCATGCTGGCATGCACCCCATTTACGCCTGGTATTAAAGTGCGATCTGTATCTGGCCACATGACTCACATAATAAACAATCCGATCGTACCTTTTGTGTTTACACCTGGTATATTAAATGCATTTTTGTGATCCTTGTTGAGATCAGATCTGTCCTCCAGAGCAAAACCTGCACGTGAGTTAGGAGAAACGCGGTCTACAACAAATTCGTAATCATGTGTCCCCTTTTTGCAAATTCGGCAAATGTAACAAGTTGTTCCTTTCTTGGTAAAAATATTGTCATTTTTTCCTGGTCTGTTGCAGTACCGCTGTGTACTAAGCTTCTCTGACTAGATATATTATATGCCTTGTTAACAGCAGATTAGCTGCACGGATGAGTGACACGCAGTCATTACTCACTGTATCATGTATATGTGTCATTAATTTCCCCCGTACTGCTTCCATTTTCTACGCAGTTCTGTTGAATCAGCCTTCTCGCTTAGATTAGAAGATCGGAACACAATGCGAGGAGACTACCTCCAGATGTGGTCAGGCAGATCTGATCACAACACATTTACACCCTGCATTAGCAAGCCTTTGTCCTTATGTGGATAACATGTCCGGGTACAGATCACATTGTTGTAAATGGGGTCATGGTAACCCATCCAGTGAAGCTAACAGAGGTCATCAGCTTTACAGGTGGTTTCATACTGTAACCTCAAATTAGTTTGAAATTCCAGGCCAGTATTGCCTGACTCCACTGGAATGTTCCTGTCGAGCCAACAAGACACAAATGCACTTAAAAGGAAGTTGTCACTTGTTGTAAATAGTGAAGATATCTGAAGAAATCTGCTCACATATTAATTATAAGTCAATTAAAAAAGATAATTGTGTCCACCGTTGTTTTGAATATTTCTCCTGTCTCCTTTGGGAAACTGTTGCTCAGCAAAGATGGGAAATACTATCAAATAGTTGATCTAAACCAGTATGGTTATTCTTTGTATAAATTAAGTTATTAAGCTAACAATGTGTAGCATGTCCATATTTACAGTTTAAACACTTATATTTGTGTAGGAGATCTAAGCAGTTTAGCTTAACACAGTTTAACACAGGCCGGTGACCCTGTGGGCTTTAAGAAGTTTTATACATACAAAACCTCTATAAAACCCAGACCAGGCCTCTATTTAGCACATGCTTTTTTTCTCAAAACATGTGGCCACACCAGGCTAGTAAAGGAGACCTGAGCAGGGTCTTGGGTTCAAAACAGACATTAGGAAAGATATAGGACATTAATATGGCCATTGTGTTACTATACTATGCTTTTGTGAGTTTCTGTGGTTATGTGTTTGTAATTTTATCTGTGCTTATGTGCTTTTGTGTGTTTTCTCTTAATGTTTAATGTTTCTGATATGCCATCAACCTGCTATGGGCATTTCAGTGCTTGTTGTAATGACGTTTTTGTAAATAAGGCTAGGGTAAGTTAGCATTAATCTTAAATAGACATAGAAAAACATTACTGATGCTAAAAGAAAAGTTAAAAAGAAAGCAATTTAGTATGAAAACACATTTTTTATTTAACCAATATCCTATGTCGCATTTGTATCAAATCTAAAAATGTATTGCTCTGGTAACGAGAGTAAACACACAGCTAAAAAAGCTTTCAGTCAGCCTGCTGGCAGGGAGCAGGACGAGGACAAGGAAGCATCCAAAACTGAGGACAAAGTAGACACTGATGATGATGATGATTTATCTGACGGCTTCTCTGAGAGTGGGGACGACGTGCAGTGTCTCTGACCACCACTGCTCTCCTACTCACAATGATGCTGAGCTACTTCCCGGCCAGAGCTTCGATCCCGTGGATCACACAGTACACC